CTATGGCCCTTTTATGACTTGTGGACTTCAACTCCCAGAATTCCTGAACCAGCCATGTTAGTTCAGGAATTCTGGGAATTGAAGTCCACAAGTCATAAAAGGGCCATAATTGCCCACCTCTGCCTAAGACCATCAGTGGAGCAAAATGATGGAAACAGACATAGACAAACGGGAAGATTTCCAAAAGATCTTCGAACTCAGGAGATTTCAGCTTTAAATTGTTATGATAAAGGACATGAGTGTATTAGAGATGTCAATCAAGATACATTAGAAGATGTTCCATACTTTCAAGGACCTCTAGTACTAGAAGATAAAATTAGATTAACATGCTAGTCATTATCAAGTCAGAAGGCTACAGGAATTGATGAAATCCCCACTAAAATATGGCAAACAACAGGGGAGAATCAGTAATAATTCTAAACAAGCCATGCCAGCAAATCTGGAGAGCGACACAATGGCCAATAGATTGGAAGAGGCCAACATTTGAATATAACTCCTCCAGAAAGAAAAAGAAATTTAAAAGAGACTTTAAGAGTGTGAAGATTATTATATAATAGCTTGAATTATCTTCCCAGCTCCTGAAAATATGAATCATATATTACATATAACTATATGGGACTATACTCACAGTGGAAATAAAAATCCATTTGACTTGCCAGATTACCTATTCCATAGAAAGATATGTAAATTTTTACAATTTGTTTAACATATATCTTCTAAATTCCTATTTTTAAGTAATGGCCAGCATATTGAATGAAGAGAATAACAAGATAACAAGCAAGAGTTGTTAAGTTTTAAATGTACTTATATAATAGCCATAAACTTTTCTATATTTAAACCTTCCAATTTCCAACAAAATGTAATATGAACTAATCAGATATAGAATATAAAAAGTATTTAGGATATTATTAAAGTATATACACACACACACATATATCTTGCACAACATAATGAAATATAGGTACAATAAGACTGCTATAATTTCCTAGTTCCTGAACCATTCTTTTATAGCATTTAAACCATTTCTGAAACAGGAGATAAGTGATGATTCATATATTTCAGGAATACAGGAACACACATACACAAATGAAACAGGTATAGCTCATTAATGGTCCATGTTCTAAATTAGTTTTGGGGGAAAATAAAATAGTTTAAAAATATTAATGTGATTTCAAATTGTATAAAAACCCCAGATAGATAGATAGATAGATAGATAGATAGATAGATAGATAGATAGATAGATAGATAGATAGATAGATAGATAGGCAGGCAGGCAGGCAGGCAGGCAGGCAGGCAGGCAGGCAGGCAGGCAGGCAGGCAGGCAGGCAGGCAGGCAAACGGGCAGAGTCATTTCAGGATTACCATCCTGGACTTATTATATGTCTTTGTTTATGAACTGGCTGTTTATCAATAAAACTGAAAGATTAATCAATATCATTTGGTGTCTTGTAGATTTTATGCTGTATTTAAGATCTAAGATGTTTTCTAGATATACAATAAATCATATTTTTCTTGTTGTCTTTTCCGTATACTAGAGCCATAAAAAGGAATGTACTTTTAAGAAAAAATATTTTGCAAGTGTTTATATTGAAATGAAAACAAATGAGCTGCAAGTTACTGCCAGACAAGTTTCCTGTCCAATTATTTTCTAACATGCATTAAATGGATTTATTTTTATGTTTTATAGGCAAACAATGTCAGGTATTTCCTCTGTGCATTTCACAAACTGACCTTTTATAGAAAACATGACACTGTGAATCATAGATTGATATGTTCCTAACAAAGTCTCCTTGTGACTTCGATTTGGACAAAACTATACAGCATGCTATGTTTTGGGTTATTTTAAAGCTTTTTAAGGACAGACAACCCAGGGACCAAATGTAATCTCAATTAAGAAGGATTACAAAATTACAAATGGAAAGCTGGCAGACAAGCTACTTCAGGCAGACCAGACACTAAATTCCCGAGAGAGCTTTAATGCTAAAACATCACAAAGAATTTTTGAATTTAGCTCATAGAAAAGTGGCAGGAAGATATCCCAATTCAGGAAAAAGACTCTTGCGCCTGAAGACTATGGTATAAATCCATGTGTATAATTTTATTATAGATAACTTAATCTCCTTGACAAAAGAACTCCTGGCTAGTTAGTCATTTCTTTACTAAATCACTACTTCATATCTGTGCACACACATTTGAGGCAATGAAAAGATGATCTTAATTACTGTACCGTAGTAAGAACAAGCTGATACAACCTACCTAACGACATAATAAGAACAAGCTGAAACACAATTTATCAATATATTTGTGTAATAATTTTACTAACATTAAAATTAAAATACCATAATACTTTGTATATATCTAGTTGGCATAAATTAGACCTCCACAGACAGTGGTGATATCCAAATTTTTTTAACTACCAGTTCTGTGGGCGTGGCTTGGTGGGCGTGGTGTGGCTTGGTGGGAGTGGCAGGGGAAAGATACTGCAAAATCCCCATTCCCACCCCACTCCAGGGGAAAGATACTGCAAAATCTCCATTCTCACCCCACTCCAAGGGAAAGGATACTGCAAAATCCCCATTCCCTCCCCACTCCTGGGGGAAGGATATTGCAAAATCTCCATTCCCACCCCACTCTGGGGCCAGCCAGAGGTGGCATTTGCCGGTTCTCTGAACTGCTCAAAATTTCCATTACCGGTTCTGCGAATTGCTCAAAATTTCTGCTACCGATTCTCCAGAACCAGTCAGAAAATGCTGGATTTCACCCCTGCCCACAGAGGTAAATTGCTGATTAAAAAATACAGGGACAATATACATAGTATGGTAAAGAAATACGGTCTTAAAATATTTTTATAAAGAAAAATGAACTAAGGAAACAAGCATACACTTTTTAAGGCATGAAATAAGAAAAATATCTAGGGATTGGAAGCTTGACTGGTCAAATGGACATTTTATAAACCTGCTATATTCCCCAAAGCAAAGTGAAGATGGAATGGGAATAGAGCCATCTTCTTCTGCAGGACACACCCTCAAGGGAATCTCTTAATAAGGGATCAAAATCCCACCATCGAATTCTCTGACTGCACCATAGGAATAAAACAAGATCCTCTTTCAGACTTACCCCAGCTTTAAAACTGAAAATGTGTTCCTTTTTATGTACATTGCCACACTGAATCATCTTATACTAGTTTATTTCTCTAAAAAATTCTTTCAGCCATCTCATTTACAATTTTAACATACCATGTTAGAAAGGAGAATGTTTGAGACTTAAAAAAGGAATCAGCTAGGCTAGACTGTGGGTTGTTGTTTTTATATGGTGCCATTAAAGAAAAAAGCTAAAAACTTGTTATACACTTGAATAAAGAAGGCCTTGTTCACTAGGGTAGAGGACAAGCCCTTCAGGCATGACTAAAGCACTGTGTGGGCCAGGATGAGGAGAAAATAACTGTTGTTCTATATGGGAGCTACAAAGCGAAATGATGAATGCAGAGCAAAGGATAACCTCTGCCACTCAGAAGCATCAAGTCCCTTACAGGAGTGACCACAATAAATGATAAGAGACTTTGAAGGCTCCAAAAATTGTCTTATCAAACTTCAAGGGCTAGTCACGTCTTAAAGACTACCTGAATTATAAAAAGGATATCACTGAATGAACTTTATGTCATTTCAATGTTATCATTGGTAATTTCATCATTTTTGTCTTAACTTAGAGAACTTAAAATGGATATTAGGAATGCTAAATAAGATTTCCACATATATTTTGGTACATATGGCAACCTAAGTCAATTATATTTATTTATTTGTATCCTGCCTTTATAATTTTTGCAAGTAACTCAAGGTGATGTTCTAATACAGATTCATTTACTTGTTTTCCCCACACCACCACCCTGCAAAGTAGATTACGTTGAGAGAGAGTGACTAACTAGCTCAGGGGTCTGCAACCTTAAACACTCAAAGAGCCATTTGGACCTGTTTCTCACAGGAAAAAAAAAAACACCGGGAGCCACAAAATCCTTCCCGTGCCTGACTATTTCTTGAGCGGCCACAAAAATAGCATATGTAGTTGAATGAAACATTCTGTTTTCTTCTGAAACTTTCCTTTTCTTGGATTTATCAATGGTTGGCCTACTGGATGTTGAAAAGCTCAATAAATCGTGTGCCAGCGGGTGTTGCACATTGGCAGTTGTGACACATATTTTGAGTGACAGGGAGCCGCAGCAGAGGGTGTGAAAGAGCCACATGCGGCTCCAGAACCGCAGGTTGCTGACCCCTGAACTAACTCAAAGTCACCCAGTTGCCTTTCATGGCTAAGGCAGAACCTGAACTCACGGCCTCTCACTTTAAATTTAAATGTCCCTGGTGTGATGAGCATTACCCAAAGCATTACCCAAAGGAATTACTTTTAATTTGGGGCAATTTACCCATGCTTGGGAAGCACTGGGTTAACGTTAGAACTGACCAATTCTTAAAACAAGAAGTACCACCAATAAAGGAGAATATTTGTAGATGAGGGTTGAAAAGAGGGCTCCTTGGTGCTCTCTGAGCTTGGTTGTTTTCTTCCAGATGTTTTATTACCCAAACTAGGTAACATCATCATCAGTGCCAATGATGTTACCAAGTTTAGGTAATGAAATATTTGCCAGAAAACAACCAAGCTCAGAGAACACCAAGGACCCCTCACAATAAGAAGTCTCTTTACTATTTTCTGTCAACCCAGGACCAAGTATCAATGGACATCACCCACTATTGTTCAGTACTTCTTTCTATATCTGCAGCAAACAGAACCATGACATCTTGAGGAAATTGGAAGTGTAATATAAAAGCTTTCCTTGAAAAGTTCTATTATCTATTGAAAGGATTATGTCTGTAAATTGCCATTTATTTAGTAAATTATGTTTTTATCTATATTGTCTAACATGCAACATTGCACTGTGCACTTTGTATTAGTATCTAGTGTGAAACAGACTTTTATCTGCAGCAAAAATAATCTAATAATGTGGCAGGAAGTATTATCACACAAGCCTCCTCTGTGACATATCTGCTGTCATGGCAACTAAATTCAGCCCTGATTGAGTGAGTTTGGTTTCAATTTCACAGCAAGACTGCAAGGAGGAAGTAAAAATAAGCGGCTGGTAGGTCCCTCACTTGCTGACTCTGGAGTTGGGATTTTTGACTTGTCCTGATTATGACCTAGTATGGACAGTCTGCTCTGTTACTGGGAAGCTATGCATGATCTGTTGTACACAGGAATCTCTGCTTTCCGTGAGTGCCATAGTGTCAGCATTTCAAATAACAGGACAAATGCTGAGTGCCTCATGTGGTTGAGGTTAGCCTCTGTTTAGAAAACAATACAATCTGGATACAAATTGGAATGGTAATTATCAGGCACAAAAGACATACTTTAAGCTAATTTGTTGCTAAAAACCTATGCACAGGAATCTTTTCAAGGAACGATCAGTACCTGGCTAGAGTTAGATAAGGGTCAACTGCAGTCAATGGTGGATTGGAATTAGTTCATTTGTGACTATGTAAGGATTCTAGGCTGATGCACCTTTTCACTCTGCTCCAAGATTCTGCCATTCCTTCTTCTACTGTAATATAACAAGACAAAGTGCAATCATGACGCTAAATCCTACCTGAGATGGTCAAAGCCAAACTCCATGCATTGTGAGCTTGAAAACAGCAATATCTGTATCCAAGAGAATGCACAGTGTGTAAGTGATATACCAGTGGTTCTTTCATTGTTTGACCTGATTTATTCCTTTTATCAGTGTCCAATAAGGTCATTCTCCTCACAAATCTGTGGAGGTTCTCAGTCATCCAGGTCATAGTTGTCTCAAAGGTGCTTTTTCAAAAGGTAACTGGACTGTTTTTCCCTTGAGGAAGAAGAACAAAATGTTTTGCTTCTCATCCAAGAAGCTTCATCAGTTGTGAAGTAGGGGGAGGGGGGATGGAAGGATAGGTACTGACCATTGAGACTGGATAGTGTGGGGGATGGGTTTTAAAGAGGGGTAAACGAGGCCATTTATGTTAACATTGAGCAGCCCTGTCTCAATGTCACAAGGGGGGAGGGATAAGACACCAACTATCTTCAGTCTACAACACAGCCCTTTCAACAATTTCAAGAAGATTCCATAACCAATTGCACTGTGATTCAGGTGTCCCTGAGCGCAAAGATAAATCTCCAAGTGGCCTCATGAGGTCTCAGGGAGAACGCTAAGGACCAGATGACTGCAAAATAATACAATCCTTCCATCCCTCCCCACCATCCAATCTCAACGATCAGTAACTATTCTTCCATCACCCAGCATCACAATTGATGAAGCTCCTTGGATGAGAAGTGAAATGTGGTGTTGTTCTTCCTCAAGGAACAAACAGTCCAATTGCCTTTTGGAAAAGCACCTTTGAGATTCTCTCCACAAAAAAATATTCTGTTGTTTTGCACAAGTGTCTTGTGGCGTGGGGGAGATAATTACCCTCAGTTTAAAGGCCACTGTGATAGGCTGTGGATCAAAAAGTCCCAATTTTAGTAGAAACTAAAACCAACAAATAGTTGGTCGCCTGGTACTTGCATCCATGCTAAGAAGTGGATTGCCAAAAAGTAGATTGCCACTACTTTTTTTCACAATGTTCTTTTAACAGGAACAATAAATTAAATAAATTAAATTAAATTAAATCCAAGGATTTCCTAGTGATCTTTCATTTAAAATTTAACAAAGTCTAACTCTGCTTAACATTTTCAAAACAAATTGGCCAGTGCAATGTTCAATCTGTACCTTAGCCATGATGTTTTTAGATGGCCTAAACTAAGCTTCAATCTTAGATCAGATTTTGAAATTCCCACTCCATTTATAGCAGAGTGATAATACTGTTGACATACTTCGAAAGATTTCTGTAACAAAGATGACTATACCCTTCATGTGAAATAATTTGAACATTTAAGGATAAGATAATAATAGAAATTATCAGCAAGATTTATTAATGTTATTGCTATTAGTCTGAATGTTTTACTAAAATAATGTGGGTGTCTATAAATATCTAAAGATACAATCCTATGTTCATTTGCTAGAGTGCAATTCCATCAAATTGTCTGGAATTTATTTGTAAGTAGAATGGATAAAGCTGTAATTTCAAGGTGTTATATAGATATCACTGTTGAATTTTCTTACTACTGGTCTAATTATTTATACATAGTCATTTTTATATTTCGTGTGGTAACATTTATTCCCGGAATACATATAATATTGATGCAGCCATCAAACAATATATTCATTTATTTGTATTTCACCCTTCTTCCAAGAATCTAAGAATAACATACATAATTACTTCATTTTTCAATTTCCACATTTTATTAGAAAACCCATCAATTTTTTTAAAAAATTTGATTTATATGCCGCCCTTCTCCGGAGACTCGGGGCGGCTTACAATGCGTTAAGCAATAGCCTTCATACTTTTGTATATTTATACAAAGTTAGCTTATTGCCACCACAAACTGGGTCCTCATTTCACCTACCTTAGAAAGGATGGAAGGCTGAGTCAACCTTGAGCCTTGGAGAGATTCGAACCAGCAGTAAATTGCAGGCAGCTGTGTTAATAACAGGGTGCTTAAACGACTGTACTATCAAGGCTCTTAATTAACTGAGATTGCCTACCAATGACTATCCTATGAGCGTACCTGAATGAATATTTTAATATTGAGTCTCCCCGGTTAAAAGTAATGATCTAGTACAGAGGTCCCCAACTCTTGGGCTGTGGCCCATTACGGGGCCGCGGCCCATTCGGAACAAATGGTGGGTGAGCATGCACACATGCGCAGCTCCACTTGAAAATGGAGCTGTGTGTGCACGTGCCACTCAAACAGAACCATTCACTCTCCCCACCCCTGTCAGGCTGTCAAGCTGCAAATATTGGGGACTGTTGATCTAGGAAACTGGAAATAGAAATCTATGGTCTGATAATGTGATAATAAAAATTGCTGGTTAATTTATATTGGGGGTGGACACACACATAATTTTCAATGCACATAAATGTGCAACTGTGGCTAAGTATGCAACATTTTAATCTTAAAAATACATTTCTACATAGCTGTTCAGATGTCTATGCATTTTAGTAAAAAAGATGTTAATGTGACCATTAAAAAGTATGCACTTGTTTATAGCAATTACTACATTGTGAACTCAGTACTTACTATGTTATATTTATAATTGTTATCATAAAATTTCCTGTATGAGTGTTTTGTTTACATATATTAATCGATTTTGCCAAAGGGCCTTAGGGTTAAATAGTAGCAGGTACTATTGTCTGGCAGAGATATACTGAACTTACTCATCTATGCTTCATGACATAATGCCTGCCAAAAGTCAGCTGGTTAAAACAACCTGTTTCCATCAAAAACTGGAATAAGCCATTTACTCATTCTCAATTCAGAATCCTTATGAAAACTCAAAGTCATTCCATGAGCTGGGTGGTCAAAGGCACAAGAAAGATAAAAGGGAGTTTATCACATAGTATATTGTTAAACTATGGAATTCATAAAGTACCTCTAATATCAGATAGTAAGCCTTTCAAGTTTCAACAGTTGAAAACAACTGAACAAAAACATTTTGGTGCTCATGTTCTGTTTGTGGATCTCTTACAGATATCCATATGGAAAGAAAAGCATTTGATTCAACGTTTTTCTCTTATCCAGCATGATTTCTGTAACTGACATATAGGATTGAATTTCCTTTTAAAGGAACTCTACAGCTGACAGTGTTAAAATACATTATACAATCAGCCTTAACATTAATTTCATTGGTTTTCTATAGCAGCAGCTAGCAAAATGCAATTCTGAGGTAATGTAGAATTTCCTACTTCTACAAATCTTTTTTTTTAACTTGGTTATTTCTGTTTGTACTATAAGAACAGACAGATTTGAATAATGGCATTTGATATCCACTGCAAATTTCCACAAGATATCTTAAATGCTCTACAGCATAAAAGCAAAGTAGAATCCAGACAAGTAGACAAGTAAGCATTTATTTTAAATAAATGAGAAGAACCTCCATAGTCATTTTTTCTCCATGGTCTTTACTTTTTTTTTTTTTTTACAATACTATGACACTGAAAGGAAGTCTTAGGAAAGCAGAAAATCAATGTACTACGCAATCAAATATAAAGCTTAATTTTAATTAACCATACAAATTTGGTATCCCCAGAATGAAATTATTAAAGAGTGGGAGAGTTGTCTAGACAGTTAATCTCACACTCCTATAATCCTCTCATTTTCATTACTCAAGTGTTCTGCTAAACATAGATATTTATACCATCTCTATTAGCACAATAGTCAGGCTTTGCAGAAATATGAGGCCAGCTAAACAATTCTGCCTACGAATGGCAGCTTATTAGTGCATATAATAAAAATGTTGCCTCAGGTTTTATTTTACCTAAATCCAACTTGAATTTGCATTCCTCCTAATCAGCAGTATTTTTAAGAAAATGCTGTCTTGAACTATTAACAGTTACTAGCTATACATTTGTTTAAAACATTCTGAAATTGTTGTAGAATGGATAGTTCTTGGTTAAGTATAGGATGTAATGAGTATTTAAGATTACTAGTCAGCTGATAGCTAAACAGACATTAGTCATCCAGGAAAAGAATGTGTTTCTGAGGAGGAATAGCAGAATATCTTGTTTGTGTACCAGTACCTGCTGTTACACGTTAGTTTTCATCTCTGAAATAAATAAATCTCTCTCTCTTTATCTCTCTTAATGAAATATTCTTCCCCCTCTTCCTTCCAAACCTATTTTGGGAAAGTGGAATTCTTGTTTACAAAACAGCACCAGCAAGCAAAACAGCAAGAAGTAACAGATGGTGAGCAATCATAAAAACTGCTGGGTTATCAATTTAAAAAGTCTATTACATATGCATATTTGTTTAGGTGAGTAACTTAATCCCAACGTGAGTACATAGTTGAACAATACCTTCATTCGGCTAGCAACAACCTACTGAAAGTCATAGTAAGACACAAGGGGAAAAGTAAAACAGCTGAATGTTTTATAGTATCATGTCAACCAATAATATGGTTTAGTGTTACTGTATTACATAAAGCTGGTCATTGTGATTTGTAAACCAGGATTTATGGCAGGATTGGACAGTGATTTAGTTGCAACATTTTAGGAGAAGGTGAGGGCTGTAGGAATGGTAAGATTAAGTGGACATGTATCATGCATGTGATGTTTTGTGGTCTCCCTACTCCGGGATTTTGGTGGGAAGTTCTGATTCTGTTTTTAAAACTAAGCTGAAACTTAAAAAAAAAATACTTTTGATATTATATTTCCCAGCTAAAAATGGCATAATGGTGAAGTCTTGCTTTGGTGTAGTGGAGACTAGCTCAGAGCAGGAAAAGCTCAGAAAGGGATGGAAGTAAAGATTATGATGGCCAGAGGGAGATATGAGGTAGAAGGCGGAGAATAGGTGCTCTTGTGGAAGCAGGGACTGTGTATCTGAGCCCAATTTCATCTTTTAGCCTCTCCACCCCAGTCTCATCTCAAGAGCCAGGCTGCCAAGTTCTCTGATGTTCATGATTTAATTGTAATTAATTAATGACTGAGAGTAAGCCTGGTCTATCCGTATCCCTGAGATCTAGGTGACCAAAATTATGGAATATGCCCATCCAGATTTTGGGTATGTCATCAGCCCTGAGCTCAGAATGGTGAAGATGGAAAGGCTACTGTCATACAAAAGACTGAACTAGTGACTAGAAGTGCCCTTCCAAGGCTATCCAGGCATAATTTCTTACTCATAAAATTAAGTCCCAGGGAAAAGTGACAACTGGTGCTGCCATTGTACCATCCCACCTGCTGCACAATGGCATTCCTCAGTGGGTTGCTCAACCTCACTTCTGGAAAACTGATGAAACTATCCAGATACACGAAGGGAGTGAAGGCCAATGTGAGTTCATGACCATCATGAAAATCACCGGCATGTCACAAGTCATCATAGTGGGAGGCTACACATTAGACCTGTGTTTTGTCTGAGACAAATGTGATATGATTGAGTGTGGGAGACAGTAATGTTTATCCTTTGTCATGGTCAGATCAATGACTGATGCTATGGAAATGATCAGCAACATTTGATCATCTGCAGGGAGGATAAACTGGTCAACCCTTCCAATGAATCTGCTTGGTTTTCAGAAGATATGAATCTTCTGGTTTCCAGCATGTGCATGTGCACAGGCCACCTGGTCTTCCTGTTTCTGACATGCATGCATGTGTGAAGACCATCTGTCCAGTGCACATGCATGCTGGAAACCGGAAGAACAGCCGCCCGGCGCACATGCATGCGTTGGGAAGATGATCTTCTGGTTTCCTATGCGCACATGCACACCAGCCACCTGTTCTTCCCATGTGCATGCATGCCGGAAACTGGAAGACCAGGTGGCCGGTGTGCATGCATGTACCAGAAACCGGAAGATCATCTTCCCAGCATGCACATGCACAGCGGGCAGCTGCTCTTCTGATTTCCAGCACTCCCATGCGTGTAAAAGCCAGCTGACCGGCACGATGGAACCCAGAAGAACAACGGGCAATGGCTCGCATGCCTGGAGCGATGGCTCTGCATGCCACTTCCGGCACACGTGCCATAGGTTTGCCATCACGGTGCTATAGTATGCCACAACCCAATTAGTGATAGGCACCAGGAAGATTTTCCATGTAATATCTCTGTTTCAGGAGCTACACTGTACAGATGCAATTCAAGGTGCTGGTCATCATTTATGAAGTATGGCATGGGATGGGATGTCTTTGAGATGGCCTAGTCTTGTCATTTCTGTCCACCCAATAAGACTTGAAGAGTGGGCTCTCTTGGAGTCCCTTCTTTAAGATGATGTCATCAGAGGGATCTTGGAGACCAGCCTTCTCAGTTGTGTCCTCGTTTCTTTCTTTGTAATAGCATTTCTTCCCCTCTCCCCCCCAAATAATTAAAATAACCTAGTTTCTTCTTGTACATATTCTAGAATAGCCATTAATATTTGGCTATTCCAGATGATTTGGGGTGAAGATCCTCTGCTACAGCATGTGTTGATATTGGTTAATTCCTTTGGTATAAAGTTTATTGTAACTGTAATCTGTTGCTTCATTTTTGTTACTTTGATGTATTGTTTTTAATCCTCTTATGGAGAGGGTTTGTAATCCGCCATAAATCTCCATGGATTAGAACAGCAAGCCAGCCTTAATAACTAAATAAATAATAAAGGTGCTCTGATCATAATAATTTCATATGATCTTTTGGTGTCAAGCATTTTCAGTGTTGCCATTTTCTTCCCAATTTACTGTGGTATAAGTAAATAAATTATTTTTAGAATCTTTCTACCTTTCAATGAGAAAACAAAACAAGTACTTTATTGAAATAAGAAAATATATGGTTTTCCTGCAAACAACTAACGTCATCCAACAGGGAAGTTAATTACAGCTGGCAAAAGTAAACACCTTCCTTAGGCAACCTCTGGATATATTTGGGGGGGAGGGGGAAATCAATTTATTTTTGAGGGGAGGGATGAAACATTTTTTAAAAGTGTGCATTTTTCAATTTATACATTTGCACTTATAATCCTCCATTTGGTTTGATAAAAGACATTGGTTATAACCAGGGATCTGGCTATAATAGTCATGCTGGCTGAGGAATTCTGGAAGTTGATGTCTAAAAGTCTTAAAGCTGTCAAGTTTGGAGACTCCTGGTTATAATCAAGAATGTCCAAGGTTCAAGAAGTATATATCACATGTTATTCAGTAAATGACATTGACATTAAAGCTAGCAAGATCACTCTGGATGATCATCAGAAAGACAAGCAATTGAAATATGATGGGCTGCTCACAATAATCTATCCCAACAGTTGCACTTACCAACTTCTTTCTGATCTGAAACTCTGGAAAGGGGTATGGCTGTTTTTTCTGCAATTGGTAACAATGTTTGACAGTTTCCAGCCCCAGTAGGTATATTTCAATAATTTACTTGTGCAAATAATTAATAATACATGGGGAATGGAATGTAAGGAGACAACTGCACTAGCGAAACAGTGATTAATCACTTCAAGAAAAAAAATATTATTAGGCATCATCACTGGTTCAAAGCTCACATTGAATTATGCTGTGGTTTGGCTCTTGTTTAGCAGACTGTGTGAGTCCAGTCGCTGCAATCTAAACCATTATCTACGGTCTAGTGCACCAGACTTAATGAATCAACATATAGGCAGTGTTAAACTTTGCTAATTCAAAAAAGAAAAAGGAGTGAAAAAGAATAGCTGCTGAGCAAAACTGTAGGCAATTTTTTTTGGAAAATGTTCTTTTTTTTTCTTCTATAATTCTATGAACAATTGACTGGTGAAACCTATTAATCTATAAATGAAAGTTATTAAATATCCACTGATATTTTCTCCAGAGGCCCACAACCAAATTTTGAATGAATTCCTCCAGGCAACATTTATTATGTTAACATTTGAGTCCTACCATCAGAGTTAGCAGTCACCACTGAATTTATCAAGACCAGTTTTCTGTTTAGGGCAGGAATCCCAATTAAAGCATCCACAGCTAGTAATTGCCAGCCATTTTTTCCAGCACAATGAAAGAGAGCTCATCTCCTTGTATTATTATTATTATTATTATTATTATTATTATTATTATTATTATTATATTTATTATTATTATTATTATTATTATTATTATTATTATTATTATTATTGGTACCACTGTCAAATTGTTCAAGAAAAGGTTATCATCGCATTGCCTGCACTTTGCATCAAGAGAGATTGCCTTCTTCTTTGTTATGCTTCTTCAGGTGCTTGGAAACCTTTTCAATCATTTTTTCTCAAGGATAGAGAAATTGCTTCAGGTCCTTCTCATAAGACTGTTTACAGTCTCCTGTGTATCCTTATAGTCTTCTCTTATACCTGCTCCAACTTTTCTAACTTATTCTTAAAATTCAGTGCCCAGAACTTGATAGTTCTGTCAAGAAAGAGTAAGAAGTTATTGGGAGAGTACATTCATACATTGCACTTTCCAACAACATCCATTCCAAATCTCAGAATTTAACGTTCTTTCAATATTCCTGTTAAACATAATGGTATATGTTGTGGGATAAGGGGACGTGGTGGCTCAATGGCTAAGACACTGAGCTGGCAGCAGAGCAACCATCCTCTGCTGCCATTTTGTTAATGCTGGATGGATCTAACCCAATAACTCACAGGAGACAATGGAATCTCTTCATTGATTCTTTATTCTAGGCCTGGAGTCCTCCTAGGCCCAATTCAGGGTAAAGGTCACTGACCTCTGTCTTGTCTTTGCAGGCACACATCTGGAACTGCTGGATGCCCACTTGTAGGACCCTTTTATATACCAGGGGAGGAGTCTGAGGTAAGGGGATATGATGGGATATGGGGAGGTGCCAGCCCCTGCCTGGGAGAATTAGACATTTACCCTGACATGTTCCTTATTTGCCCTTCTCTAATTGTTCTGTACCTTATTAACATTATTAATGTTAATAAAAAATAGACACTAACTCAGAGTTCATCAAGGGCATTCTGGCCTACTGCAAATCAAGAGTCATGAGACAAAGCCATGGAAAGAGAGGAGGAGCACATAATGTACTCATGATATCCTGCTCTCCAAGTTCCTGTCTTTGAAGGATTAACAAAGCATACATGCCTGTTGAGGCTTTGTTGAATAACAAAATATAACTCTTTGCTTATTCATTTTATTTATTCATTATTTGTGCCACTTATTATTTCCCTCTAGATATGTCATACTAAAAGCTTTAACTTTTAATTTAAAAATCTTTGTTCAGTTACTTAATTGCCAATTAGCAGATTCTTAATGAATGAAGTTAGTACTTCACAACTGATCTGCAATTAGCATGTTTTATCTCAGAACTGCTCAAGAGTATTTAATTATTTTTATGAATTAAGATCTTTCTCTAGCAGAGTTCTCAAAACTGGAGGAAGCAAGTCAATGCCACTGAATCTAGAGTATAGTATTTATACAAATCTTTCCCGAAAACTGGAATTCCTATAGTATATTAATTAAATTAATCTATCAAGCATTTTATCCTTTAACCAAACCATTTTGTTTCGATTCTCAGAAATTTGTCTAGATACTTGGAGATTCTTCAATCGTTATATAATTTAAATCATTGAGTTGTTTTATTAAATTGTTTTAATAAATTTATTTTGTCTATTAATTTTTATTAATCATTAAATTATTTAAAGAATTATGAAATAAATTCAATGACTTTGGGTTTATTAGCATAATTTAATCAAGGGTAAAAAGTAGGAGCTTGTCTGGGTTACTATAGGAAAAGAAATTATCTGGCAGTAAATGCTTTTATACAGATGCCTGTACAGTTAAAAAGATTTTGGAGAAAGGAGTTTAAAAAGAACTGTGGTACTCCAGGATAGATAAGTGTATTGTGGATGGATTAATTGTGCAATTCAAGGTACCAACTTCCTGACTTCAGTTGCTACTCCAAGATCCAGTGTACTTAAAAGTTTTGTGCTTCCATGTAAACAATTGCTCCCTTAAAACAGCAGTCCCCAATCTTTGCAGCTTGGCAGCCAGGCTGAGGGGGGCTGGTGGTGGGAGAAGAGGGGAACTGGACTACGCAAGCGGTGGGCCAGCGCATGTGCACAGCCCTTGCATAAGTAGCAGGCTAGCATGTATGTGTGTAACTGCCCACCAGCCCATCATGCACAAGTTGAGCTGTGTGCACATGCGGCTCACAATTTCAAATAGGCCATTGCCTGGTAGTGGGCTGTGGCACAGGGTTTGGGGACCTCAGCCTTAAAATGTTTCTCACCTTGAACAACTTTAAAATGTGTTGATGCTGGCTGGGCAATTCTGGGAGTTGGTCCACATGTTTTTTATTTGCTGAAGTTGAGAAACACTATATTAGAACACCCAAAGATGTGATACAAAAGCTCTATCTATGTAATACATTGAAGGCAGTGGTAAAATCCCAATTTTTTTTACTACCAGTTCTGTGGGCGTGGCTTGGTGGGCATGGCAGGGGAAGGATACTGCAAAATCTCCATTCCCACCCCACTCCAAGGGAAGGATACTGCAAAATCTCCATTCTCACCCTTCTCCAGGGGAAGGATACTGCAAAATCCCCATTCCCTCCCCACTCCTGGGGGAAGGATATTACAAAATATCCACTCCCACCACACTCTGGGGCCAGCCAGAAGTGGTATTTGCCAGTTCTCTGAACTACCCAAAATTTCTGCTACAGGTTCTCCGAACTGCTCAAAATTTCCACTACCGGTTCTCCAGAACCTGTCAGAACCTGCTGGATTTCATCCCCGATTGAAGGTGCAAAAAAAGCAACTAGTCTAGAAAAATTATTTTGGTTGCACAAATCCAGACAACCTTTAAATGACAGCAAATGCCATTATGGGATGTGAGTAATGTGACAATAAGACCATTTAAAAAAATATCTTTTAACTTTCTGTATAGACCCAGTACTTTTAAAATATATTTCTCTAATATATATTAGCTCTCTTTCAGTAAGCCAGTCTCTTTGAAAACACAGATGGCATTCATTTCCAGATGTTCAACAGAGACTATGCTATTTAAAATGTGTGCATGAAGTTTTATGCATAAAAATGTAAGTGGGTCAATTGAAATGATTGAAAGAAATTACCTTTGTTGTTTTCTGGCTAATGCATGTTTACAACTACTTATTCCCCCTCATCTGCAGCTTTGGTGCTCCATATTTAAATAACAAAAAATATATAGGCACAAATTACCAGCCAATCATGGCTCATACAAGTGTGAGATAAAAGAACTGACTCAGATTTGATTAGGAGACAATGCTGCAGAGAGCAAACTGGAATGAAGAACTGTTTTCTGGTTCCGATACAATACCAGCTCTTTTATCCGATTTTACAGTTCCTTCCCTAAAAACAATAAAAAATAATATTAACTATTCTTTTTGAGACTTACAGTTTTACCTGGCCATTTCAGCTCATGGTCAAAGGCTCACCCTCCAGTCCAATGGTGGGTTTCTACCGGTTTGCACCGGTTCGGGAGAACCAGTAGCAATAAATTGGCAAGGGTCGCAGAACCGGTATTAATGGCTGGCTGGACATGCCCCCAAACCGGTCCCCTGGTCACCGCCCCGCCCAGTCACTTCCTTTTCCTCCCCACCACCCAGGCGGCTTGCCTGCCTAAGCTGCCTTCCCACGTGGTACCTGCCCTGCGCCCCAACTGAGCTGCCTCCTCCTGCCTACAGGTAAGTCGCGCTAGCCCCCCCCCCCCCGAGCATGCTGCACCACCCCCACCAGGCTCATGACCTTACCTTCCCAGCCCCTTACAGGAGTCCCCCCATGCCCCGTTTTGGCTCCCAGGGGCTGCAGGGAGGCTTGCTAAACCTAAAATGGGGCAGGGGCCACAGTGCCCCCCCCCCGAGGCCCATTTTGGCTCCCAGGGGCTGCAGGGAGGCTTGCTAAGCCCAAAATGGGGCACCGGGGTGCCTAGCAAGACACTAATCAATAGTGAGCTCTAAGAATGCCAGATGATCAATGGGCATGTTCTGAGTTTCAAAACGTCTGGCTTTTCTTCCTCCTATCAAAGATCTTCTGGGGTTCTTCACAGAAAGGGAGAAAGGAGAAAGAGAGGGAGAAAAAAAAGAGAGAGAGAGAGAGAAAAGAAAGAGAAAGAAAAAGAAAAAGAGGAAGGAAAGGAGGGAGAGAGAGAGAGAGCTCTGTGCTATTATTTTTAATTGTTCCATTATTTATCATGTCCCTACACCTAGAGTGATTTTACTGCCTTTCTTTTGCCCAGGGCTACCACATATTTTTCAGGGATTTACATGCATTCAATGTCTATAGTCCAGAGCATAAATATGTGTGTGTTTATTTTGTACATCAGGTTGTGTAAGTCCATCTTAATATGCTATTCCTAGTATGTGATGTTTTGTATACATACAGAGAAAAAAGCACTCTTGTGATCTTTGACTTTTACGCTTGCTATCAAACATCAGCCATAATACTAATTACTGTTTTGAACAATATGCACGAATGGCTATTTTATATGTGAAATTATGACTGAAATATTTCTGCACCTATATTGGTTCTCACTGTCAGGAAGTTTCTCCTTAGTTTTAGGAGAAAAACGAACTTCTCTCTTTGTTCAGTTTCCATCCACTGCTTCTTGTTTTTCCTTCTGGTACTTTGGAAAATACATTGCCTATACATTCTTTCTGGCCGCCCCTTAAAAGCCTGTTGCCTATGACACTCTTGGGCAAAGCATGTGAGCCATTTCCTTCTTTCAGTGGTCCATGAAAGTACATCTATAGTATGTAGATAATAAAGTTGAAAAAAGTTGAACAACATTGTTACAGAACTAGATACATTGAGGCTGGGTGTGACAAGGAATGGCTGGGAGGGGAGGGGCCAGGCGAGGGACCCCTTGACGTGGGTGACATTGAGTTGGCCACGTCCATCCAGTCACATGACCACGAAGCCACTCCCACTGTCACATGACCAAGCCACACCCACAAAGTAAGCCACGCCCACTGAACCGGTAGTAAAAAAATTTAGAGCCCATCCCTGATCCAGTTCATTCTGAAGCTGAAGTATTGCATCATTTAAAAACACAATCTGCTTGCTTTTGAAATTAATTATCTTATCACTGGATCACATGTGCCCTTCTAAACTATGATGACCCCCAAATAATGGAAAGTGTATCAAGATGTTATGATACAACCTCCACCCTTTTGTATTTGTACTGCAATATCACAGGCAAGTAAACTGTGGGATTTGTGTTACAATGAGGCAATTTTCTCTTGTCTGTCCCTCCCCTTACATACCCATTACAGTCTGGTGGAATACTTTATTTAATTTTGGTATCTGTAATGAAACAGATCTTAAAGCTGCCTAATAGTTTTAGCATTGAAAATGGAATTAGGCAAAATGCATCTGTCTAAAGTTTGAAGCGATATGGCCAACTGTTATAAATCAAAAATAAAGATAATTCTAGATTCGGTTTTAAAATTTCTATTTAAAAAAAATCTTAGCCATCAAGAGGAAAAAAGTTCTTTGGAATGGGATCTTTGGAGATCATATCCACATGAAAATGTAAAAGCGTTTCCAGGTATAATTTATTTAAAAATGCTGTGAATTAACCCTACGAAATACGGTGTTAACATTTTCAATCTTTATTTGCCAACTCAACAGAATATTTCAGTCAATTTTTTTCTTTAAAAAAAATTTGTTAAATACAAGCAGCTGTTCATATCGAACTTTGATATAAATAGAACCAATACAAAAGCACAAATTCCAAAAACTGCTGAGAATTCACAATTCTGCTTTGCTGCTAGGAGTGATTTCTCTGTAGCTAATTGGCTGCCTAGAGGATTCCTAGGGTTCTTTAAACAAACAAACAAAAAAATAGAAATAATTCAGCCATCAGTAAGACAACATGAATTCTAAGGGATGGACAGGCAAAGAACAGATTTATAGAGGAAGTGACTGATTGGGCAGCAAGAAAACCATTTACGATTGTGCAACAAGGGTTTTCCAGTATTTTGTCATTTCATCACGAAACTTTGTTATAGCTGCTGTGTAGTGTTATTCTGGAATATGAACAAACTTGTTTACTTTCAAGAAAAGGAGAACAAAATAATAATAGCTAACTGGGAATTCTGGAAATTGTACTTCCAATAGAAACACCAAGACATTATTATCCCCAAAACTTAAACATTTTTTAATAATATTCTTCTTATGTAACAATGTAATAGAACTGAAAAAAGCAATTGTTGCTTTGGAAATAAAAGGATATGAACTGCTTGCACATACACACACATGTATACTGTATATACACATATATACCAGGGGTGAAATGCTCCCGATTCAGACCGGATCACCCGATCTGGTAGTGATGGCGGTGGGTGGTTCGGAGAATCGGTAGCAAAAATCCCTGCCCCCCCCGCCCAGCTGAGTTGTGCAATCATCAGAGGCTTTTTTTTTTTTTACTTTTGAAAACATTTTTTCTAAAAAAAAATGCTTTTAAAAGTAAAAAAAAAAGCCTCAGATGATCGCGTGGCTCAGCTGGGATTGTCAGAGCCTTTTAAAAGCATTTTTTTCTACTCGAAGAGGTTGTAAAAAAAAATGTTTTTAAAAGGCTCTGACGATCCCAGCTGAGTTGCCTGATCATCAGAGGCTTTTTTTTCCCTTTTAAAAGCAAAAAAAAAAAATGATTTTAAAAGAAAACAAAAGCCTCTGACGATCAGGCAACTCAGCTGGGATCGTCAGAGCCCTTTAAAAGATTTTTTTTACAACCTCTTCGGCCGAAGAGGTTGTAGAAAAAATGCTTTTAAAAGTAAAAAAAAAGAAAAAAAAGTTGGCCACGCCCACCCAGTCACATTACCCTCCCACCAAGCCACACCCCCAGAACCAGTAGTAACAAATTTTACATTTCACCACTGATATATACATATACACATACACTTGCACTTTCTAATTCACACTTCTTCAGGCTAGGGTGTTCAAATTCTGAATAATAAATATTACAACAATATCCCATCTTCTGGAATTTTCCTTCAGTTTAGCTTCCAGACTTCAGTATCCCTTGTTGGTGTCCCACTGAAGTATTAAACAGGCCTGATCCTTCTTAGAACATCATAACTACGTAGTACGATGGACTTGCAGGGCCGGCGCAACATGTAAAATGTTCACACTGGTGCAATAGGACTGGGTGTTTTGTTAATATGATTTATTGGTTTAGAGATTTTCTGTCTTCACTCTGAATTGTATTGTGTTGGGGGGGGTGCACTGAGGGAGCTCAACCAATCTCATCATATATATGTTGTGCACTGACAATAAAGATTTGAAAATTGAAAATTTCAGCTCAGGTCTCATCCAGATGTTGCCATCTCTTGAGATGAAACCCATAGTTAAAAGCTTTCCATTAACTCCACTGGTGTTTTCAGCAAAATGAATGTAGTGGTATTAATATGCCAACCCTCCCATTTTGTTTTTGCACCCTGACAACCAACAAAATTTTAGCCAGCATGGCTAGTAGTGGAACAAATAATCTTCTATCAGTTGTCTCAGAAATAAAACACGACACAATAATAACCTGTGATGTGGCTGTTAGTACAACATAATTAAGATCAACATGCCATCAAATCAAATTCAAGCAGCGGTTACTAAAAGACAAGTGGCAAATCTTAATTTCTGAAGTAATTCTACTACTATTACAAAACAACTAATAATAAATGACAGTGATATTAATGTCTTATTACTCTGTCACATAGATTCATGACATAACGGCAAGATTTAAACTTCATGTTAAACAATCATTTAACCATACCATAATTGGCTGGATTTACACGTAGCATTTAATCATAAACAATGGCATGGACACAATAGTGGCATTTATACAGGGTACAGAGCCAAACCCAGACAAACCACATTATGGCTTTGAAAATCAAAACAGCTAAATTCAAGAGGCAAGAGTCCACTGTTTGTTGAATAAGCCATAGAAGTCTAACACATATATAGTCAAGTCCTAATTAATGAGTCCATAAACAGACAAAGTTCACATTATGTTTTTGTGTCATGAATGCACCAAAATACTCTTAACATAACAGCATAACACATGTGTTAAGAGTACTTAACACCAATGCAATTTTAAAATATGCTTAATATGGTGGCTCTTGCATCTAACCCACAAAAATTAATTTCTTTCAAAACATTAATTAGTTTAATTACATGTTGATATCTTTATAAAACAATGACATACAACATTTTAGTTAAGGCAAGATGATGAGTCTTGGAAGAAAAACTGACTGATTTCTCAGCTGCAGTAGTCCTGTTCTTGGTATTAAAAACAGAAGCAGCCATTGGCAGTAGTCTGTACTTTTAGATGAAAGATACATAACCAGATGCCTTCCAGATGCTATGGTTAAATTTCCATTAGGCTTAGCCAATAGCAACTGATTGTAGGAACTGTTGTACAAAACATCTGGAGGGCATCAGATTATAAATATAGCAGCTCAAAGCTAATCAATGATGTAAACTTTCTTGAAATAAGACAGACAGTAAACATCACTGGTGTTTCAGTCAGGTTCCTGTGTGATAGGATTCCACAAAATTGGTTTCTAAATTTAAAATAAATAATTATATCAGGTGGGTCTGACTCAGCAATATGGATACAGCAATATGGATAGAGCTTTGGTGGCGCAGCAGACTAAAGCACTGTTAAGTAATACCAGCTGCCTGCAATTACTGCAAGTTCAAATCTCACCAGGCTCAAGGTTGACTCTGCCTTCCATCCTTCCGAGGTAGGTAAAATGAGGACCCGGTTTGTGAAGGCAATAAGCTGACTTTGTATAAAAAAGAACACCACTTGGGTGGGGGGAAGCGAAAGCCCTACTAAGCAGGTATATACAAAAATATGAAGGCTATTACTTAACGCATTGTAAGCCGCCCTGAGTCTCTGGAAAAGGGCGGCATATAAATCGAACCAATAAATAAATAAATAAATACATATTTCCTATCTCCCTCTCTTATGACTGTTATGTGAATTAGAACTAATGTTGAATTTAAAGTTAAAATATAATTCATTAAGTACTGCTAATAGGAATATTCCCTATTTCTCATACCAAACATTACAATCTGACAGCAACCTTTACAACTGGGGGCGATGATAAAATAGGGCTATCAGGTAGTCTTCCAGGAATTTTAGGGCAAGGATGTGAGGTCCAAGAAATGTGAGGCCCACGAGGGAAAACATCTAAAAGCAAAATGAAGGGCTTTTTCAACATAAATGAGATTTCTCTGGCTAAAACTACCGATACTTGCTATACCAGTCCTAAGGAGGAAATGCAGAGCAGCTTTGGGGGGTGGGAGGAGGCATGGCGAGCTACACTGAACAGGCAAAAGAGCCCAAAAGGATTTATTTATGTAAGTACAAACTCTGTTTGCAAGCGCATTGGGCAATAGTGAAGAGCCTTTCAGTCCTTGTATATTCCCTCTGGGTATGCAAAGTTTTGCACCTGAATAAACAATTTTGTGCATGACAAACTGCATGCCACTATCAGTCTACACATTCGAGTTTAAGGTCCATTGTGGAGGTGGCAACAAGATACAACCAAAGGTTATGATCCTCCTGCTGCTTTCTCAACTCAAACATGCATTTTCCTGAGCCTGCAATTTGAACCCTGAAAAAAAATGCATTGCTGTGTTCTTGCAGGATCTGAAGCACTGTTGACAGCTGCAGAACTAAACCCTTCACACCTCAAGAGGAGACCGAATATGAGCTTCTTCCACAACACAAAATGCCAGAAAAAAACATGCTACAGGCAACGTCCCAATCATCCTCTCTGGCTGGTCTGAAAAGTTAAGGATTAATTGTTTGGTTCTTTACATTTAAAATAAATTGATCCAACCTGTGCCTTACTTTGTCTCCTACTTGACTGAAGGAATGAGCTATTGAAACAGGGTTATTTTTACCACCTGCAGAAGCTAAAAAAAGACTGCTGTTCTGGGTCTTCTTTTGCCACAAAAGATGCTAACTTCCACAGGCGAAATCTAACAGGATACATTAATCTCTTTTAATAGCCTGTGTGAAATCTTTGGTTTTGTTTCCTCACTAAATGTTTTGTTACTCTGTGGGAAAGGAAAGGCTCTTCCCAAAACAAAACAGCCATGATATTTTAATCTTCCTGCTTAAATAAAGTAAGTTGTTAAAAGTTACAAAAATAAAATACCAATTTGAAGAAAGAGGGGGCTTGAATCAAATAAAACTGGGCAGTTTTTAATAGGTTTCATTGTTGAAGATACTCTACTCTAGGTTCTCATTAAACATTAGATGTAATATCTATTATGACTTTCACATTTACATATTTTTTTAAAAAAAATATGCTGTTCTTAATTCTTAAAAAACAGGCCAAGAACAAAGACTGTATAATTTTATTGATTTTAGTTCCTTCCTTGAAGCTCAAAATCTGCCAAAGTAAAAAGAAGTGAAGAAGTCTGTTTTTCCTGAAAAATCGTAGAGGTCCTTGGAATTTATCCAGTGCAGTCACTTCTTGTTGTATTCTCTCATCAAATATCCTGCAAGTCAGTGGTGAAATTCAAATTTTTTTACTACTGGTTCTGTGGGTGTGGCAAGGGAAGTATACTGCAAAATCTCCATTCCCACCCCACTCCAGGGGAAGGATACTACAAAATTCCCATTCCTTCCCCACTCCTGGGGGAAGGATACAGCAAAATCTCCATTCCCACCCCACTCCAGGGGAAGGATACTGCAAAATCCCCATTCCCTCCCCACTCCTGGGGGAAGGATATTGCAAAATCTCCATTCCCACCCCACTCTGGAGCCAGCCAGAGGTGGCATTTGCCGGTTTTCCAAACTACTCAAAATTTCTGCTACCAGTTCTCCAGAACCTGTCAGAACCTGCTGTATTTCACCCCTGCTGCAACTGGTATTCTAGTCTAATTTCTTTTTTTCACTGAGATTATGAAGATATTTAAAGTGGCTGGAAAGGAGAAGAAGAACAAAATGCTCAAGGGAACTGTTTCCACTGCTTGAATTCCTTAAGCCTTTCGTTTTAAAAATGAGATAATAAATCTTTCCCTTCCTAAGGATCCGGGAAGTAAGTAATGTTGAAGGAACTAAAATGTTAATAGAATCAGGGAGGCTGGGAACAAGATAATCATGAAAGCAAGGATGGCTTTTGACTGAGAGGATCCCATGATACTGTAAAACCAATAACTAGTTTTTAGTATATCTCACTTGTTTCCTTGCCAGTATTTGGCAGAAAACTGCACAAATGGCAGGCATGAAACACCAGGTCCACACGTGATTTATTGTTACAACCTATGCACAAGAATCTTCTTATAGCACCTGCTTAGAGTTAGAATAAGGGTCAACAGTACTCAAGAAGTGTTGGACTTAGTCTGCTTGTGGCTATGTGAGGGATTCTAGGCTGAGTCCTCTTTTAATTCCACCCCATGTTCTGCCACTTCTTCTCCCACATCAATTAATTTAAAGCAGTTTGCCACTCAATTTCAGCAAAATGATTTGGGTTGTTTATGCCATCTCATCTTCCACAAAACTTGCAAATTTCATGCGGGTTAAATATTGATACATCACAGCATGGAAAGATGGGCACATTCTAATTCAATTAAACCAACCAACAAACAGATCTCAGCTGACAAAAATATTGCATACCTTTTCATCTAGATTCTAGAATAAATTCCTGATTTTAAAATAGTTACAAAGTTTTCTTATCAATTTTTGTTTTTTATTCCATAGCAGAATGGGGTGTGTGTGTTTTAAAACAAGCAAAACTGATGACTGACATTAAAATCATATCAGGGTGTATTTTAAATGCTTTTTCTCCCCCATCTATTTTCAGACTAATAATAAGTCTGTAAATTCTGTGCCTTATGTCCACAGACATATCAATGAAATCAATAGAACTTAAGCTAGTATGGAAGAAAGTGTCACCTTTCACTGTCCTTTCAATCCAAATAGTCTCAGGCAGTTCAAATTTCAAAGCAGTTGAAAAATTTGCTCATTAGAGTTTGAACAGAACTGGCATAGCAAGAATCTACTTCCTTAAACTGATTGGTATTAAATTGACTAACATACCGTTTGGTAAATCTGTATGTAAGTCCACAAAGATCCAGTATTTTTACAATATTACAGACTGCTAGTGGCTTCTTTCATGTTTTAAAAAATGCTCTTTCTTTTGTTAGCAATTCTAACTGAACTTTGCCCAGCAATCCTTAACAAGGTACATTCACAATTTGCTTGTTTAACTGTACTAGTATACTCATAAAATAACTGTGTAAATAAAAAATACAGTTTTTCTTTCAACAGTGGAAAATAATGTTGACAGTTCTTAGTCATCAGTATTCAAGTCAATATTAATAGTTTAAAAATTACTTGTTTGTTTAGGGCAGAAAAGATGTAAATGAACACCTGTATTTCCATGCAATAATCTTCAAATGACACCAAAAAGAGAAAAAAAGATTGCATGGGAAATGTCACAAGCCTACACAGACAACAAAATAATAGTTCAAGCTACTCACACAAGACTCAAATGCACATCTTTTCAATATGAGGCCTTTTGCCCATGCCTGTATACTCCTATGGCAAATCCATCCATCCTTTTTATCTTCCCATTCATCATTTCCTCTTGTCTAGATAACAAGTGAAAGTTTGCAAAGATGGATAAAATCTCAAGTCTTGTATTAACTTCAATTATACAAAGGAAGGCCATACACAACAGCCAGCTGAACTGCAAAAATCTGAAAAGAGAATACGGACAACATTTCTACGGAGCCCTGTTTTTGTTCCTTTGACTTCAGGGATTATTTCAAGCTCTTTGGAATGCAGAAGGAGTCTGTTCCTTTTCTCGTTTTCTCAGGAGAAGAACAGTTCACTTGGCTTATTACCCTCCCTCCTTTCAGGTCAAGGGGGAAAGTAAGCATCTCCTCTTGTGCCGCCAATTGGCTGCCTCCAGTCCTCAGAGACTTGGCTTCATAAGCTTCCACAGCTGCAGCTGAAATACAGGGAATTTTGGCATGCAATATTTTCTTCTTCAAATTTAATTCTCAAGCCACCAAACATGGTGTTGCCATAAAACTAGAAAGGGAAATGAACAGTCAGAGAAGTTTTGAGGGAAAATTCCTCTGAAAAGAATGAACGATAAAGATTGGACCTTCTTTCATCAGCATACCAAATGCTCTTTACTTAAAACAGCCCCAATCAATCTAATTGAATGCTCTTTACTTCAACCAGTCTCAATCAATTTAACGACCAAAGAACCCACAGAGACTGGTTATCTGTATCCAAGAACAGATGGACTATATCTGCCACTGCAAGGTGAGATATCGTCAATATGCTGATGATACATAGGTATACGACTCAGTCCATGGTGATTTAAGCAATGCCATGACCTCCCTCTTTCAGTGCATGGATGCTGTTAGACTATTAACAGGTGGATGAGTGAAACTGAACCTGGCAAGATGGAATGGCTCTGGGCTTGGGGCTGTTTGGTCCTTGGAGTATTGCTATCTTTGGTCTTGGACGGGTTGGCACTATTGGCACTGTTGCAGAAAGACCTAGTGTGTAATTTAGAGGTTCTCCTGGACTCCTCCTTAAGGCTGAGCACATTGTAAGCCGCCCTGAGTCTTCGGAGAAGGGCGGCATATAAATCAAATTAAAAAAAAAAAAAAGGAGAAGGTGGCAGCCATGGCCAGGAGGCCTTTGTGCAATTGTGGGTTGTGCATCAGTTATGCCTTTTTCTGGACTCATGCTCACAATTACCCACACCCTAGTCACCTCTCATCTTGACTATTGCAATGTACTCTACAAGGGTCTGTCCTTGAACAGTATCCGGAAAGTGGTTCAAAATGCAGTGGCCCACATGGTTTTGTGCAAATCTAGATTTGCACATGCACCCTCTCTCCTGAGGGAGCTGCTTCCAGGTCCAATACAACATGTTGGTTGTCACCTTCAAAGCCCTATAATCTGTTTGGGAACAGTTTATTTTTTCAGTCATATCTACCAGACACACCAAAGCAGGGAGGCAGGAAATGTCATGGCTTGCCTCTCATAAGGAGGTGCATCTGGTGGGATCAAAAAGAAGAACCTTCTCCATGATGGCTCCCTCTCTGCTGAACATCATTCCTGCAGAGTTAAGATTGGCCCCCACTTTGACACTATTTCACAAGGCCCCAATTCTGCCAATGGGCCTGGGGCAAAGGTGGTTTGCCTTTGGTGGTTTCAGCACGTTCTGACCAGTTCTGGAGAACCGGTAATGGAAATTTTGAGTAGTTCAAAGAACCGGTAATAAAAATTCTGACTGGCCCCACCCCCAACTATTCTCTGCCTCCCAAGTCCCAGCTGATCAGGAGGAAATGGTGATTTTGCAGTAACCTTCCCCTGGATTGGGGAAGGACTGGAGATTTTACAGTATCCTTCCCCTGGAGTGGGGTGGGAATGAAGATTTTATAGTATCCTTCCCCTGCCACGCACACCAAGCCATGCCCACCAAGCCACACCCACAGAACAGGTAGTAAAAAAAATTGAAACCCACCACTGGCCTGGGGACCTCAGATGCATATGGAGCCCATCGAGTGGCTCATCTGATTTTTGTTGCCCTAGGGGTGGGTGTTATTGCTTATTGGGGTTTTATCTTTGTAAACCACCAGGAATCATGGAGAGTGAGTTGGGCAGCCATATAAATTAAATGGATTATAAATTATAAATTGTGATTTTTTAAAAAAAAAATACTGAATAGAAATAAACTTATCTATCATAGTGTAATTATTTTGCATAATAATATCCAGAGTAGAACCCTACCCTCAGAAAGCCATATATACTGTTAGTTTTGGTTTTATCCTATTATGCAAGTAGCCCCCTGTTTTATGCAAGTAGATCC